AAGATTTTATAAAAGAATTTAATTATTTTTAAAAACCTTTTAAATTGGTTAATGCTGGATAGAAATAAGTTTTTTAATTTATTTAATTATTAATTGAAAAACCACAGAAAACTCGCTTACTGGACAGTGTAAAGGAAAAATAGATTGAATGGTTTTAATTACCTTGGATTACTAAGAGAAAAATTTAACGATTTCATAGCGTGACATTATAATTGACGTTCATTGAATGATTTTCTTTGTTAAATAAATTAAAAAACTTATTAATAAATTATTGATTTATAACATTCAATTGTACATTTTTATATAATGAAATTAATTTAAAAAAATAACTATTGAAAAGAATTTATTAAAAAATGGTTCATCAGAAAACATAATTTATAATTGGATCATCTTTTGTTATTTAAAGCTTTATTGAGTTTATTTAGTCAACTCCCGAAAAATGTGTTTATTTTATTTCAAAAATAATTGAAGATCGAAAATTTAAAAATTTTCGATATCAAAAGCTTGCTTGACAATGTCGCTCGAATGCGGATCTAATCAATACTGCCTCAACACTCCAAGCACATTAAAATTGACGAATAATACTGCTGTAATGTTTTGCCCTTTTTGAATAGTTCAAAATGGAAAAACTATTTTTCCAGTGGAATTAAGCAATGTTAATCCAAGTGGGTAATTATTTGCTTTGTAACAATCATCCAAGGTATAGGCTGATTAGGAAAAATCCCTGGCGTCCTTTCCGAAGCCCCATGAATTTTTAACTGTCTATTAATTATTCAAAACGAAAAAATTTAGCTCCTTTTCTGGGCTGATGACATAACACAGCAGCAAGTTTTATCTGTACCATTATCATTTTTCTAATTCCTAATGATGTCTTAATTACTGCTTCTTAGTACCAACACGAAAAAAACTTTCATCTGTAACAGCGAAAGATTTCACTAGATTCGTTAATGATTTAAATGTAACAATTACAACTTTTGCTATTCTAACAAAACTTTTCGCTATTCTAGATAGTGTGAAAAAAATATAATTTTTCTAAACAGATATTCAGCCTAAATTTTCCAAATGGCTCGTACAAAGTTATACGAAACACTGACTAATTTTCCTTCACGTGGGGAAATTTTCTACTTCCCCTTCCGAGTTCTTAATTCTTTTCTGCTTTTCTTTTTGTTTGTATTTATCAGAATTATCTTTAATTACCAAAACTTTCCTGTTTATGATCATTGACTTCATCTATTGTTTCCTAACTAATTCAGCTACTAAATACACTGAGGAATACTAAATTCTAATTCTGAAAATTATTCTTTATTTTCGTTCGTAGAATGTCTGGTTATTATTATTATTATTATTATTATTAATCTAATGGTTGTTGCTACGTGAAAGCCTTTGACGCTTGGGTAATCCCTTATACGTCAGCAAAAGCTATATCTAATCGACCAATTCCATAAATGTAGAACTGCAGCCAAACTTCTATTAGGCATACCAATTTCTTTGAGGAAAAAATAACCTGAATCAACTGGCGCTACCTCACAAGTTCGGAGCAATGACAGAGAATTTGTAATGAGGTTTCTACTTCCTCTCCAAACCTACATTTTGGATGTTAAGACCTATTTAATGTCTGTGGTAGCGTAAGTCTCCGTTACCGGTTAAAAGGCCTATTACGGTTTTCGTCTCTTTTCTATTGAGTCTGCGGAATTCCTCTGCTCCTTTTTAGATCGATATTATTCCCAATGAGTACCTTAGCTACAACCTGTAGTTGCCTGCTGCCTCTCTTTCTGATGCTCTATACCTCGCCACCGCTTAAATTCCGGGACCTGACATTTTTGTTAGAGACACCAATAGGTCTGATAAATTGTTTCCTAGCTTCTATTTTGGTTCATCCGCTATGTTGTTACCTTTAATCCCCCTGTGTCCTGGGACCCAGAGGAGAGTAACGCGGTTATTTTCAGTCTGTTGAGTATTGTATTCCATCAACCAACTGTAATGTATTTACATAACGTTTCAAGGCATAAATAGCTGCGAAATAATTTATTTTTACGGCTACAACATTCCAGTGCCTCAGTAGCATCATTGAATATGGTAATTTATTTCAGATTGTAGAACAGTAGTAGTTGACCCCAGACAATTTGAGTGTCTCACGTCTTCTGATTCCTAAAAACTCCTGCATCCTACTTTCCCTTTAAATCATCCGTATACCAAACGTCAGTGTTTTCGGAGTGAAGCCCCACTTGGACAGATTCCCCGGAAAGTGCCCCCTGGAGGTTCTATCAGAATTCCGCCGGAACTTCCAACGTAATTTCGTCGGAATTCCATCGAAGTTCCAAAGAATTTCCGATGGGATTCCGATTAATTTTTTTTTCAAAAATTTTAGAGTCCTAATTCCGTCGGAATTCTGTCAGAATCCCATCGGAAATTCTTTGATACTCCGATGGAATTCCGACGGAATTACGTTGGATGTTCCGGCGGAATTCTAGTAGAACCTCCAGGTGGCACTTTCCGGGGAATCTTTCCAAGTGAAGCGCTAGCCCCTTTTGTCCAATCTTCTCTGGTGTGTATATATTTATTTTATACCTTTTATCAAAGAGATAAAGTGAAAAAGTCCTATCTCTCTAATCAATTAAGGAGGGGTATTACCACTAAATTGTTAGAAATATTTTTTTTATTAAAAAATCTGTTACTAAAATTTTAAACGCATTTTTTCAAAATCACTTTTTTTTAACTAGTGCCAACGATTTCTCAAATTCTATTCAACCAATCGGGCTACAATTCGGAGGCATTATTCTACTATTGTTCGAACCACGATCATGATTTTACTTAAATAATTTTCTCTTTTTTTTTTTAATAATTTTTAATGAAAAAAAGACGATTTTTGAAATTTTTTTTTTTTAACAGTCCGCCGTTTTGTTATTTATTGGGGTAAATTTTTTATTGATGTTCCAAACGATAGCGGCAAGTGTTCTGAGTAAAACAACGTTTGATTTTTTTTTGTTTCAGACAATATTAGCACCGTCAACCCACGCATTTCTCAAGGAGTCAACTTTGACCCAGATAAAAAATTATTTATTTACTTTAAAATTTACCAAAAAAAAAAAGTTTTATATACTTAAAGATACCAATTATAATGTGTAAAAAGAGCGAAAGAGTTGTATTTTAGTTTCTTAAAAAAAAAACTGAAAAAATTTAAAATTTCGTCCGTTACATATAGGAATAGTGTCTTAAAAGTTTTTAAGGATTCTTATGATATTAATTGTAAATAAATATAACTTAGATGTTGAAAATCAGTTATTTTAAAATTAATTAAATTATTTTCTTTTAAAATAGAAAATTTTACAATTTTGCGTTTTTGTAAATTTTTTTCTAAATGTAAAATTTTATCATCAATTGCTCTCTAAATCTGAATTAGTAAAAGTGTTTACTAATTCAAGTGACTCACTTTTTGCTACTGAATTAGTAAAATTTTACTAATTATTAGTAACTTTTACTAACAATTAGTAAAATTTAACTAATTCTAAAGAAAAAAGTGAGTCACTTGAATTAGTAAACACTTTTACTAATTCAGATTTAGAGAGTGATGAAAAATTAAAATAATGTTTTGATTCGATTTTTATGTATTTGTTGACAAATTCAAAATGATAATTTGTTATTGCATAAAAGATTTTTTTTAACTTAATTTTTTTCTTTACCAAGTTTTTTTTAGCGTTGCTAATTTTAAGATCAGAAATTTTTCATGAGTTAAAATTTACAAACCGTTACAAAAAAATGACGATAAAACCGTAACTTTTTTTTTCTATACCTCTCTCATAACAAAAGGATATCCCTAGGATATCCATAGGATATCCATATGAATGGTCGATATCCTAGAATGGTCCCCAGGATATCTTGGGATAACCATAGGATATCCCTAGGATATCCAAACCGCCGGTCTGTGGAACATCAACAGGACATCCATAGGATATCCACAGGATATCCCTAAGACATCCACAAAATATCTATTGGATATTATATCGCAGGATATTCATGGGATATCCTCAGGATGTCCGTGGGATATTCTTAGGATATTCACGGGATATTTAATATCTCAACATATATTTTTAAAGGTTAAAATTGTTAAGCTAATATAATGAATAATAATATAATAAAAACAAAAATCTTATGAGCTTCTAATTTATTTTAAATGAAGATTTGAAACGCATTTTTCAAAGTTTTTAAATAAACTCATGCACTTAATGTATAATTAATATTAATAGTTATTCGTTATTTGCGGGGAAGAATTTATATTGTTTAAAGCCAATTTATTTTCTGACAATATTAAGCATATGAATAAAGGAATGAATCACGAATGAGAAAAAAATTAGTTAATAATTTTTCAAATTAAACAACTTTCTCGAAAAACAAGTTGCATTTTATTTTATTTATATAAAATTTAATTCACAGAATATTCTCACTCGTAGTCTCATAATGACTTTAAAAACAGTATCCTGAGAATATCTTCTTGCAATCCAGAAGATATACTGAGAATATCATGAAAATATCTGTGGGATATCCTGACGATATCTATGGGATATCTGGAGAACATTTATGAAAGTCTATAGAGAAATCCAGAAGATATCCTGTGGATATCCTCAGATATCCATGGAATATCCAAAGGATATCCAAACCGCCGATTTTTTGGATATCCTTAAGAGATCCTTTTGATATCCATAGGACATCCCTAGGATATTTGCGGGATATTATCAATATATCCCAAGATATCTTGTGTTATTAGGGCTTGAATTTCTCAGTATATTTATTTTTCTAAATAGAACAACCTCTGTAAAAAAGATATATAGACATAGTTTGATAATTAGCTGAAGCACTTAATCGAGTTTACTTGTGAGTTTTTGATTAAGCTCCCGTTTCTTGGATTCATGGAAAACATTTAACGTGTATCCTCTTAACGAGCAGTAAACATTTATAATTAACATTTCTTCTCTTTAAAAAAGATTTTTCTCTCTCTCTCTTACCTAAATGATGAGACAAGACAGCTAGAAGCGACCAAATAGCGCTGAACCACCTTCTGCGGATCTCCTGCATCCCTGGTAATGATTCTCGTACTTAAAATCCAGATTTATACACTTTTTTTAAAAAAAAAGTTCAACTATTACACCAATCAATTAAAACTACTGAAACCGCCATTTATATCAATTTTTTTTTTTTGCTTTCTTATTTCTTCAGCAATTGAATATTTTTGCCATAGTTATTAGGGTTTAATTCACTTTTGGAATTATAAGTTTTACACACACATAATTTATCATCAGGCACTGAATTTTTTTAAAATATATAGTTTAAAATTCACTTTTGCTTTGAATTCACTTTCATGATGCCTTTACAGCATCATTTGAGATTTTTTTAAACTAAAAAATAGTGCGCGCACCATTATTCATTAATTATCATTAATTATCATCCAAGTCCCAATTTTTAACACAAACTTATTTGTCACTTTTTCCATTTTTCTTCATTAATTCCTTTGGATATGATTTTCCACTTATAGAAAAATTGGAGTTTAGTATTTTGAACATTTTTTTGCTTTTGTTACCTCAAATAAATGTTCTTGTCAATCATTTTTTTTTTTCGCGAGGGAGAGAAAGATTATTTCGATTTCTTTCCGTTATTCGACATCGATGACTATCAATCTGAAACAAAAAGGAAAAATTTTTTTTTTTTTTTTTTGTAACAAGTAGGTAAATAATTTAAAAATTGTTATCGTTCGAATTTTTTTTTCAAAAATTTTCTCTAATTTTTAATAGAAAAAAAAATTTAAATATTTAACAAAATAGTAACGGGAATATAAAGATAAAAATTAATTTTTAATTTAATACAATTCGGAATGAATGGAATTTAAAAAAAAATAGAGTTGTGAATGTTAAATAAACAAATTTTTCAAACGCGTCTTCTCCAAACCACTCTCCCACTCAACCGTACACTGCCGAGTTTTATTGATTTGTAACAGTGCTGAATTAAGTTGTGTTTAGCAATTTTCGAGTTTCGGCATTCTATATATCAGCAGCTGTCAAACTTCACTAACACTAAACTACAAAACCTTAAACGATAATAGAAATAATTTTAATTCCAAATTTTAGAAGAAAAATTCCCAAAAAAAACGGATTTAAATTACAAAAAATTTTTTTTTTTATTTAAAAATGCAGATAAAGCCGATTCGGACAAAATTTTGAAAAAACCCGAAATTATGATCTAAAATCTAAGTCATCAACAAAAATTATATCACGCAATTCTCTTAAAATGAAATGCGAAAAAAATTAATATTTAAAAAAAAATGTTTCCTATTAACTACAGAATTAATTTGTCTTACAATTAGCAAAAGGTGTTTGCTAGTTTCTCAGAGACAAATAAATATTTATTTGATTTAAATAAAAAAAATTTATTTACATCAAATAAATAGGCTAATTGACTCTGAGACGTTTATTTAACACAAATATATTATATTTGGTTCAAAAAAAACATATTTCTCTGGGTGCTGAGGCAATAGAAAAATTTACAATTGAAAATTTTTTCGATGAATTTTTTTCCAATATTATTTTTTAAATACCACTTTTTAAATATCTCCTTTCCCATCCGGAGAATAAAAAAAAGAATACCAATAATTTATCATTGGAAGAAAAAAAAAGTTTTACAGTCAAATTACTTGTGATTGTGAACTATAACAGGGGGAGAGAAAGACGAGATCCGATACTCCGGATGCAACCACTATAATGCCGAACAAAAAAAAAAAAAACTGATTGCCTCCTTTTCATTTCTATTGGCAATAAAAAAAATATTTCTCAAAATTATTGACTACAAAAAAGAAAGTAGATTTTTACTCGAAAATAGAAACACTTTTTTTAGATTTAAAATTTTATAAAAATTCCTTATTTCTTCAGTAATAGCACACTTTAATACTAATACCACTTTACCGATTATTTGATGATGCTCCAAAAACGAAAAAAAATTTTACAATGAAATTTAGATATCCATAATTATTTTCGTGTTTTTTTTCCCCTCTTTTTGTTTTTTTTTTTGAACAACTTTTTATTAACAAGAAACAAATAAAGTATTAAACGCGTCGGACAAAAAAACATACGATCCACTATGATGATTTTCCGCGACTGCTGAGCAGCAGCTCACTCACGGGCCAACCCCCTGAGCTTATTTCTCGATTCGAGCGATAGTTGGCGCTAGTGTCGTCATCACCAGCACACCATGCGCCAAAGCTCTATTTCCACTATTACTACTGCAACTACTACACACACTAGGAGAGCTGCACCTCTCTCCTACACGGAGTTTCTGTGTGATAAAACCAATACATTGAACTCGCTCACCAACTTGTATATACAATCTCATATATTTCTCATATATATATACATACACAATCATAACATTTATTCACATATACAAACCTGGCTACAACTGCTGCGGAAGCACAGCCGGGCTTTCGCGCGACCAAAACAAGCGTTTGTGTATATACTATATATCCATTCGGTTATTGCTCTCAGTCATTTTGTCCTCAGTATCAGATTTTAACATCTCATCAAGTCATTTCACACTACGCAATACTTTGCAATTAGGTCAACTGATTGAAAATCTATAAAACATAAATATATATATATATATATATGGTTGTATAACACGATTATGTAATGGTTATGTATACTTTGTTGTGTAACAGGATGAAACATGTTCTTTGCCCCACGTAAGTTCTAATTAATCATGTAGGATGCTATTTTGTAAGTTTATTTCGATTTTCATTTCGATCCTTATTTTTACTTTTCTACTTTACAAAAAATGGTCAAACTAGCTTGAAACTTGTTACTCGGGGGTTTTTGGGGTCGCTGATGACGAATCTGAAGAGCGATTTAAATAATTCAAAATGGCGGACAAATGTTTTTAAAAATTGTCGAATTTATCTGAATCATGGTATCTAGGGGTTTCTGGGGTCACTGATTACGAATCTGAAGCCATTTTTCAAAAATTCTTTCACCATAGTCGATCATCCATTTTTATTTTCATAAATCTTGATAATATGACTTCAAATTCTTAATCAGTGACCATCAAAAACTCCTGAATACCATGTTCCAGATAAATTGGACAATTTTTAAAAAGTAACATTAAATTCGTAATCAGCGACCCCAAAAACCCCCAATTGACGACTTTCAAGTAAATCCGATGAATTTTTGTAAAACTCGTCCGCCATATTGGATCCGCCATTTTGAATTTCTAAAAAGTAACATTAAATTCGTAATCAGCGACCCCAAAAACCCCCGAGTGATGAGTTTAAAGTAAATCCGATAAATTTTTGTAAAACTCGTCCGCCATATTGGATCCGCCATTTTGAATTTTTAAAAAGTAACATCAAATTCGTGATCAGCGACCCCGAAAACACCCAAGTAACAAAATTCAAGTGAAAAATTATGGTAAAAAAATTCAAAAGTCTGTCATTCGGTTATTTTTTAATAAAAAATTCTGATTCTAGTCAACACGATAGCCAAAATGGTACAGATTAAGAAACTATTTACTTTTTTCATTTTAGATTAACCGTTCCAGAGAAAAAGTGTGAACCACTTTTAGCGAGGACCATTTTTGGCAGCCATTTTCTAAGACGTCATTTTGAAAAAAAATAATAATAATAATTTTCGATTATCTTAAGACATATGTATTTTTAGATAAAAAAATTTTAAGTGACAAATATTTTTTTTATTATAAAAAAAAAATCTTTGAAAAAAACATCAAAACCAGTGGAACCTCCCCTTAAGAGAAAATTTTATTTTCATCGAGAGATTTTAATATAATAAAATTAAATATCTCGACATAATTGATCTATTCCAATTGTAGTAGGAACACGGTGACCTAAAAAAACGGTCGATTTTCATCCATTAGTGACTTTAAAAAACTCAGATTTATTTAGAAAATTGTTTAAAAGAAAAAGAGTGAAGAATTACGAATCCGATGTCAGTTTTTCAAAATTCAAAATGGCGGATCCAATATGGCGGCTTTTTGCCAAAATTAATCAAAAATCGTCATTCAGGGGTTTTTGGGATCGCTGATTACGAATTTGATATCAGTTTTTCAAATTTCAAAGTGGCGGATCTAATATGGCAAAAAAAAAAAAAAACACCGAGTAGCAAATTTCAAGTGAATTGAATCAATTTTTCAAAAATTTCATCCGCCATTTTGAATTTTAAAAAACCGACATCTAATTTGTAATCAGCGATCCCAAAAACCCTCGGGGTGACGATTTTGATTAATTTTGGAAATAGCCGCCATATTGGATCCGCCATTTTGAATTTTGGAAAACTGACATCGGATTCTTAATCAACGACCTCAAAACCCTCGAGTAAGAAGTAAATAAAATTCGTAATAATCGACGGCAAAATTTACCCATAGTAACAACTATCAATCAAATATGAATGGTTTTTAATTTTTTTAACCGCCATTTTAAATTTCAAAATTTTACAAATCTGATATCAAATTCTTAATAATCGAATAAAAAATTTCTCCCACTAACAAGTTTCAATCAAAGTTTTATGTTTTTTAATTTTTTTTACCGCCATATTGAATCCGCCATTTTAAATTTCGAAATTTTGTAAATCTAACATTAAATTTGTAACACCCAACCCTAAAAACCCACCGAGTAATGTAAAAATTTGTTTACAAAATTCTGTCAAATGGTAATTTGAAAAATAAAAATTTTAATTATATATATATATATGTATATAATATAAAAATCTTCAAAATAAAAATCCTAATTAATGATTTTTATGGTATCATGATGTGACCCTTAGGACTAAATACATTCAGGGCTAAATGGGTTAAAGTATCTAAACATTATTTACCCCAACCAACAGAACATTTATTTTATTCTAATAATAATATTTAATATACAGACCAAATTATTTGGTTACTATTACTATAAATAAATTCAAATAAGCGTAGGTAAAAAATGATTCAATAATAAGAATTCAAAAAAAATATATATCTAAATATAAGGGTTTTTATACTATATATATGAACATTAAAAAAATGAAAAATTATTTTTTTATTATTATTGATCGCACAGATTTTTTTTTTACGATCTATATAGTGTTATTACTTTAGGGCACATAAAAATGCAATTTACTTCTATGTTACTGTGCGCTATATGTCACACGGCGACTTTTTACTTTCGAATTATAGCACAATACTATCTTTAATTACATCTTCACACGTGTATCTCGCACATAAGTCGTTGGTGTATTACAGCGCCAGTACAGTAGCTAGATTGTTATCTTAATTGCGTCGCAACTTTCATTCAACACACCTCAAAACCACTATAGTCAGCAAATACATTGGCTACTATATATATATATGTATATACGTATATATATATAGGTATATATGTTATAGGATCATAGTACATAATAACTAGATCAACCCTTTCTTCTTCTGAATAATAATTATTAATTGTTGACTAGCACAATTCAATACAGATAAGCAATGACATAGATTTCCTTATGAGGTGTTTAGAAAATTTTTAACAATTAACAATAAATATGTTTCATTTTTTTTCAATTTTATATTTTACATTTTTAAATTTTGCAAAATTTGACATCAAATTCGTAATCAGTGACAACAAAAAACCCCGGATATCCAGTTTCAAAAGAATCCTACAATTTTTTCAAAATTCGTCGCCATTTTGGATCCGCCATTTTGAATTTTGCAAAATTGACATTAAATTCGTAATCACTGACCCCAAAAATCCCCGGATGCTAAATTTCAAAAGAAGCCAACAATTTTTTTACAATGTATCTGCCATTTTGAATTTTGCAAATCTGATATCAAAATTCGTAATTAGCAACCCAAAATAACCCCGGATACTAAATTTCAAAAGAAACCAACAATTTTTTTTTTTAAATTTCGCCATATTGTATCCGCCATTTTGAATTTTGCAAATTTGATATGAAATTTGTAAAAATTATCTGCAAAAACCCCCAGAGTAACAACTTTCAAGCAAAGTCATACAATCGTTAATTTTGTGCCGCCATATTTGATACGCCATTTGAAAATTCGAAATTTTGCATTTCTGACATCAAATTCGTAATCAGCGACCCCAAAAACCCCCGGATATCTAGTTTCAAAAGAATCCTACAATTTTTTCAAAATTCGTCGCCATTTTGGATCCGCTATTTTGAATTTTGCAAAACTGACATTAAATTCGTAATCACCGACCCTAAAAATCCCCGGATGCTAAATTTTTAAAGAAAGCAACAATTTTTTTTACATTGTCCGCCATATTGGGTCCGCCATTTTGAATTTTAAAAATATAATATCAAATTCGTAACAATCGACCCAAAATTCTTCCTGGTAATAAGTTTCAATTAAATTTTGTATACTTTTTAATTTTTTTTACCGCCATTTTGGATCCGCTATTTTAAATTTAGAAATTTCGCAAATCTAATGTCAAATTCGTAATCAGCAACCCAAAAAATCCCCAGGTACATAATTTCAAAAGAAACCAACAATTTTTTAAAAAAATTTTCGCCATATTGAATCCGCCATTTTGAATTTTGCAAATCTGATATCAAATTCGTAATAATTGACCACGAAATTCCCCCTAGTAACAAGTTTCAATCAAATTTTGTATGCTTTTTAATTTTTTTCGACCGCCATATTGGATCCGACATTTTAAATTTTGAAATTTTGTAAATCTAACATCAAATTTATAATACTTAACCCTAAAAATCCCCCGAGTAACAAATTTCCTGGAAATCTGTATGATTTTGATTTTTTTTGCCCGCCATATTGGATCCGCCATTTTTATTTGCATAATTTAACTTCAGTGTTTCTAAAAATCATATTAACGATAACGTTCATAATTTTTTTTCAATTATCCTAATTGCATGACTGAAAGTCGTACAGAAACAAATGAGAAATAAGGCACATAATTGATTATTATTATTAATAAGTTAAAAAATTTATTTTCAAAGAAAGAAAAACGAAAATAACCCCGGCATTTTAGGAATATCTTAGACAAAAGGAAAAGAAGACAAATGGTTTTAACGATAAAGCAAAAGTTACTGGTGTGACAATGCTGCACTGAAATAAACGGAATCTAGGTAAAAGCAATAAATTTGTAAGCTCGATGACAACTG